GACATTCCCTGCGTCAATGCCAACCTGATTCCGAACTTCCTCCCTCAGTACCAGAACGGTGTCAACCAAGCCTGCGCAGGTGTTGCTGGCGCTAGGCCTGGTGCTACCTCGGTTAGTGGTGATGATTACCTCAGAAGCCTCTCCTACTCGAAGGGACACATCTGGCGAAATGTTGGAATCTTGTTTGCCTGGTGGTTCCTCTTCGTTGGTCTCACAATTTTCTTTACACTTCGATGGGACGACGCAGCCGGCTCTGGAGGATCTCTCCTGATCCCTCGTGAGAACAAGAAGAAGGTCCCCCGCTCTATCACACCCGGTGATGTAGAAGCTCAAGGAAACGAGAAAGCGCCCAGGACAGACGGCAGCAACGAGAAAGCCACTGAAACCCAAGACTTGAGTGCCAACCTTATGCGCAACACTTCCGTCTTCACCTGGCGCAACCTTTCGTATGTTGTCAAGACCCCATCTGGCGACCGCACACTGTTGGACAATGTTCATGGTTACGTCAAGCCCGGTATGTTGGGAGCTTTGATGGGTTCATCTGGTGCTGGAAAGACCACTCTTCTTGATGTCCTTGCCCAACGCAAGACTGACGGTACCATTCATGGAGAGATCTTGGTAGATGGCCGACCACTCCCTGTTTCATTCCAACGTTCCGCCGGTTACTGCGAGCAACTCGATGTTCACGAGCCTTTTGCGACTGTCCGAGAAGCGCTTGAGTTTTCTGCCCTACTTCGTCAAAGCCGTGACACTCCCCGTGAGGAGAAACTTGCCTATGTCGACACTATCATCGATTTGCTTGAACTACACGACTTGGAACATACTTTGATTGGTCGTGTTGGAGCAGGTTTGTCAGTCGAGCAGCGCAAGCGCGTCACTATTGGTGTTGAGCTTGTTTCGAAGCCTTCCATCTTGATCTTCCTCGATGAGCCTACTTGTAAGTCCACGTAATCACACTCTCAGTACACCACTAACATTTGCTAGCTGGATTGGACGGTCAAGCCGCTTTCAACACTGTTCGTTTCCTTCGCAAGCTCGCCGACGTTGGTCAAGCCGTTTTGGTCACCATCCATCAACCTTCCGCCCTTCTGTTCGCTCAGTTCGATACTCTTCTGCTTCTCGCAAAGGGTGGCAAGACTGTCTACTTCGGTGACATCGGTGACAACGCAACGACTATCAAGGAGTACTTCGGTCGATACGACGCTCCCTGCCCTCCCAACGCCAACCCTGCAGAACACATGATCGACGTGGTAACTGGCACGCACGGAAAAGACTGGCATCAAGTCTGGCTTGACTCACCTGAAGCGGCTCGCATGCACCAGGACCTCGACCACATCATCACTGACGCTGCTGGCAAAGAGCCCGGAACCACGGATGATGGCCATGAGTTCGCCATGGATCTCTGGACTCAGACCAAGATTGTTACACACAGGGCGAACGTCAGCATGTACCGCAACATCGACTACGTTAACAACAAGTTTGCTCTCCACATTGGTACCGCGCTGTTCATCGGTTTCAGTTTCTGGAAGATTGGCAACACTGTAGCTGACCAGCAGCTCGTCCTCTTTGCTCTTTTCAACTACATCTTCGTCGCACCAGGTGTTATTGCTCAACTACAACCTCTCTTCATCGACCGTCGCGACATCTACGAAACACGTGAGAAGAAGTCGAAGATGTACTCCTGGATCGCTTTCGTCACCGGTCTTGTCGTCTCTGAGATCCCGTACCTCATCATCTGCGCTATCCTCTACTACCTCTGCTTCTACTACACTGCCGGTCTTCCCACCGATTCCAACAAGGCAGGTGCGGTGTTCTTCGTCATGCTGGTCTACCAGTTCATCTACACCGGTATTGGTCAGTTCGTTGCAGCCTACGCACCCAACGCTGTCTTTGCCTCGCTCGTCAACCCGCTCATCATCGGAGTGCTCGTCTCATTCTGTGGTGTCCTTGTGCCATATGCGCAAATCCAAGAATTCTGGCGCTACTGGATGTAAGTACCCCAAAACTACCATGAACCTAGAGAGCAACCCTACTAACACTGTTCCAGCTATTACCTCAACCCGTTCAACTACCTGATGGGCGCGCTGCTCGTCTTCGCCGATTGGGAATGGGATGTCAATTGCTCCGAGTCAGAGTTCGCCATGTTCGATCCCCCATCTGGTCAAACATGCAGTGACTACCTACAAGCGTGGATGGCAGGCCCGGGAAGCCGCACAAACCTAGTCAACCCTGATGCTACCTCAGACTGCAGAGTCTGCCAATACACCAAGGGAAGCGACTACCTGTACACGGTAAACCTCAACGACTACTACTACGGATGGAGGAATGCGGCCATCTGCGTCATCTTCGCTCTCTCGAGTTACGCGCTGGTGTACGGTCTCATGAAGTTGAGGACCAAGGCTAGCAAGAAGGCGGAGTAGATTGCGCGGTAGGGTGGTACCGTTGGTAGTATCGTTATCTTATTTCATTCTTCAAATGTTGTCTTTTTCCCGTCTTGGTTGCATCTTGAATATTTTGGTCATCTGTAAATATGTCGACCATTTGTCTTTGTACTGTCTGCATCTAGAAAGTTCTCTTCTCCGACCACTATAGACCTTCTCTGGGCTCAGCGCGTAGTCTTGGAGTTGGGGGTCAAATTTAGTCTGTAAATATATTGTAATACTTGCAAACACGTTTGCTGAGCCCAACTGTGATTCTGACATGACAACTGAGATGATGACACAAGTCTAGTGTCTTCGCAGTGTATTTATGCCTCCAGGGCCGACTTTTGTGGCGGGACAAGGTCGTAGCGGCAAGCGCAAGTAGGTACCAGAAAATGGGTGTTTAGTGCAATTGGATAGCCACAAACAAACGACGTGCAGGCAGATTTAGATGTATAATACTTTAGTTCGAGAAGATTTGACATGAATGGCAATTCTCGCATACCCTATTGCCGGGCACTCCCAACCACGTGCACCGCGACTGGGCTAGTGAGTGAGACTCCACCACACGCGTCCCACCTACAGCCGACAAGTCGCGTTTTTCGGCAATCTCACTTGTCGCGTATCGATTACACGCCACAATACTCAATTGCTCATCGTGAGGTGCGCGAACAACGATCGCAAACACACAATGCCGCCAAAGACACGTAAAGTGCCCGGTCGCAAGGCAGCGGTAGCTGAGGAAGCGCCTATTGCATCACCTCTCAAGCGGAGTCGCGCGTCCAGAGCCGATGCAGTCGAAGCCGCTGTTGAGCCACCAAAGAAGCGTGGACGTCCCGCAAAAGCGAAGACTGAAGAGCCCGTTGTCGAAGACGCGCGGAAGCACAAGAAACGCGGTCGCCAGCCTAACATTGCGCCTGCGCCTGAGCCTGAGCCTCTTATCGAAGCGCCTGTAGTCAAGAAGGGTAGAGGAAGGCCCAAGAAAGAGGCTGTACCTGCACAACATGAAGCACCAGTACAAGAAGAGGCACCTGTCAAGAATCATGAAGGCCGTCCTCGCAAAGCAGATGTGACCGCAAACGCGCCGCCAGCTACACCCAAGCGTGGTCGACCAGCGCGCACTGCAGCACTCGATCTCGACCGGGTCGCTGGTCCCTCTCGAATCGGCAAGCGGTCGTCTCCTCGCACAAAGGCCAAGGCTGAGCCTAATGTTGCCCCCCGTCTTAATCCACGCATGCGCTCCAAGCTGCGCACCCGCCTACCTTCAGCCAAGACTGTCAAATCAGAGCCCGTCACAAAGCCAGCCCCGAAGCCAACTGCCCGAAGAGGACGACCGCCCAAGGATGTCGCCCCTGTTCCAAAGCCAGCTGTAGTCGAGAAACCCACGAAGCCCGTTAAGCCTCTTGCTCCTCGCAAGATGCGCGGCCACACTTTGCGCCAGATCCCAGATCAATACGTGGCGCAGGTAGATCAATATCTTCAGGATCTGATCGAAGCCGACGCGTCGCCTGTCGAAGAAGAGCAGCTAGAAGAGATGGAGGAGGAACAAGAAGAAGATGGCTTAGTCGTGGAGGATGGCCAGGACGTCTTGGTTTCTTCAGAACAAGACCGGGAGCAGTATCAAGACTACAGTGATGACGGTGGTGTCGGCATGGATGGCCAGCAAGACGGTGTTCAAGACGACGAGGACAACCAAGCTGTTGTCGCACAGCAGGACGAAGAGGGCGCCGAGGAACTGCCAGAGGGCGTGAACAATGACGAATTACCCGAACAGACCAACGGAATCCACGTCGTTCCCGAAGACGGTGACCAGATCGAGAACGCCGAGCCGATGCCCCAGATCGAGATGAGCGTACAAGAGGTTGTCGAGATGGAGCAGGATGGGGCTGTCAACGTACATACTGAGGTGGATACAGAAATGGTAGCTCCTGAGAATATTTCTGAGGACGGTATGGATTTCTTCCATGGCGCCGAGGAGTACGGCCTGATCAGTGGTACTCCTGCGCCTCCTGCGGCTGTTATTTTCAGCTAAGCAGCCTACTCCCGGTCCGGTCTGGAAGTACACATCTGCCTCTCTTCATGTTCGCATACAGAAGCGGCATTATCATCGCAGTAGCAGGTAGCTTTCGCATAGCGGCCATTCTTTAGGTGCTATGATATCCGGTCGGTGGGAAGCAATTAGCTCAGCAACAGACTCCGGGTCCTGTACATGGGGTTAACATCCAGAATGGGGATGCTATCTGAGCGCGTTCGTCTTATATACGAATACATGAGTCACGAAAAGAAAGTTGCGTCTGTCTCCAGTCGTTTGAGTGGTTGCTAATAGACTGAGCAGGCCACATGTCACCTAATGAGTGATGTTTCCAGTCTGGTTTTTTGCCATATGTAGATATCATTACTACCGTGTTCCCAGCACGAACTTTTTAGTTACCGCTAACGATCGACAGTCATCCGCTCTTCACTGTCTCCGCCGTACCCGGCCTGCTCGTCTCAAAAATGCTCCTCCGTTTCCTAATCTCCTCGCCCTTCATGCGCCAGCCCGTCCAGCAACAGAACCCCAGTCGCTCGACTTCACAGAAGCTAGTGGGAGAAGATAGAATTCCCCTCACTATGCTCATGGCCATGGCTGTGTCCACCTGATGCACCGTGGTTGTGAATCGTGGTTCCACTCGACACTACCCTAGAGGTCATCGACTTTGCGCCACCACGAGCTCCACCGTTGCTCGCATGATACACGCTGCTGGCAGACTCTTCGAAGCGCTCCATCTCGCGGCACTTCTCTTCGTATTTGGCCATGTACTCGTCGCGTTCACGGTCGGCGGCGTGACGAGCCGAGATGGCACGTTCCTTTTGTTCGCGAGCTTCATTGAGCAGAGTGCGAAGAGAAGTGATCTCGAACTCGAATTCGGCGGAAGAGTCGTCGTAGGTGGAGATTGTCTCAGTGATCTCCTCGTACTTGTGCTTCCATGCGTTGAGGTCAGAGTGAGCGCGGTCGCGAGCGTACTTGAGGTTGGTGATCTCGGTTTGGAAGATGACTAGCTTTTCCTGAAGACTGTTGATCTCGCCGGTGAGGTGGCCGTGTTTGCCGCGTGAGTCCTCGCCCTCACGATAGAGGACCTTGTTGCGTTCGGTAAGAGTGTGAATCTCGGATCTGATCTCAGTGATAGTCAACTCGGCGCGACGGAGGGATTCCTCCAAGGTGTTGATACGGCGGTGACCGTCCTCGACCTTGCGGTGCTGGTCATGAAGGTCTTCCTTCAGCTGGTCACGCTCGATCACGATGAGGCGATGGTCTTCACGAGAGCGGTCGATGGCGTCTCGAAGCTCAGTGCGCTCGAGCTCAAGGTCTCTCAACTTCTCCTTGACTGAGACGACCTCACGCTTGATGTGTTCATACTTGAGTGAAAACTCGTTGGCACGGGCATCGGACTCTTCCCAGCCAAGGATTTTGGCCTTGACCTCACGGCGGAGGCCGTCGATGGTAAGGGCATGATCATCACGCTCCGTTTCGATAACGCGGACAACCTCCTTAAGCTTGTGGAGCTCGCGTTGTACACGGTCGTGTCGCTCCGTCAGTTCAGTGTACTCGCGAGTAGTCTCGTCAACTCTAAACTTTGCACGCTTCAGCTCCTCGTGAAGACGATCCTTCTCATGGAGATGCTCATCCCTCTCAAGCTCGAACATCTTGATGCGATCGGTAAGGGTGAGAACCTCCTTGCGAGTAGATTCGAATTTGGAGGTAGTCTCGCTGTACTTGCTCTTAAGCTCAGTGTGCTCACGGAGAAGTGTCCTAAGCTCGCTGTGATGCTTTTCCGAGTCAAATCGAGCGGAGTCGCGCTCGCCTTCACAGATCTTCAACCTGGAGTAGACAGCTTCTAGCTCAGACCTGGTCCTTTCGTGCTCACCGTGGGTGAGAGTGACAGAGCTCTGAAGCTCATGTAGCTCATGACGGGTGCTCTCAAGGTCACGGTCCCGATCGGCGAGCCTCTTCTTGTGGTCGGTCACTTGAGTAAGTGCAGCAGTGAGCTCAAGTATGAGCTTCTCCACCTGCCTCTTCCTCTCGCCGTGCTCGTGGCCGTGGTGCGAGTGCTCAGCTTCCTTGCGCTGAATCTCCTCAGTCACTTCCTCAACCGTGATGAGAAGCTCATCCCTCTCGCGAACGAGACTGTCCCGCTCAGCCATGATACGAGACCATGACTCCTTTAGTGAAGAAGCCTCTCGGGATGCAGTAGACATGAGATCCATCAAAGCGAAGAACTTGCCCTCGGCTTGCGATGTGAGCTCTGTAGACATCTTGCTCCGATGCGACTGGAGGAAGCTGCTTGCTCGGCGTGAAGATGAGCTTGTCTGCCGAGTGGAACGGCGTGACAAGGATGAGCTGTGACTTGCACCATTGGCATGGTTTCCGAATGAGAAGGATCGGTTGCCTGTAGGTGAGGAAGGCTCAGAGAAGACATCTCGGATTCCACTAGCCTTGAGCTTCATGATAGTAAGCTTTTCTGGTGTGATGTCGGAATTGGCTGCAAATGTGTCGGCCATTTTTTGATTATGAAAAGTATTGTTGTAATGAAAAGAGTACTGAGATGCCAATTTCTAAAGGATGGGCATGAGTGGAAAGTGGTACTTATGCTGTCAATGCCGTCAATCAGTACCCCGCCCACATACTACGATAGTGCATCCAAGCAGCATATCTACGCGTCCATTGGCATCGTCTGTTGCGCGATTAGACGAAGTGCTTGTGGCTTGATGCTTGAAGACAGATTGGTGGATATGACGCAGTATTCTTAGAGCGTCTGGCGAATTGGGGATGTCATCCCAGCTGCCGCTCGCTGCGCTTCACTGTTACCGGAAAGGCACATACAGCAGCTTGAAGCCATGCATGGGATAAGTGGGACCGGTCCTGTAGGGTGTCGGCGACTTGGGAGGTGGAGTTAACCATGATGGTTGGAGGAGTTCAGCTTGATCAAACACCGTCTAAGACAAATCAGACCGGGCGTCGCCATACCTATGCAATGGCGATCCTCGGTAGTGCAAGGTCAGCGACCGTCGCCTAGCACTCCTCGCTTGGTGGGTCATTCTCGACTGGATAATACCAGGTGCGGGTAGATCACAAGGGCTGAGTATCTCGATGCTGCAGATTGCAGATCAAATGTGGGGGACGGGCCGCGCTATAGCACCCTCGCTCCATCGCTAGACGTCGCTTGCTTCTTTCGGCTGCTACATGACGCCTGAGCTTTCGATAGTCCTAATCGAGCGTTTGCCCTTCCACGCAGTGGAGAAGCTGTAAGCCAATCATGCTTCTTGGAGCGCTGGATCGGACCGTGATAATGCAATCGATCACGTCGGGGACGGCCGGTCGATGAGATGACGACTGCCATTGGAGAATGACCCACATCCGAAAGATATCTGTAGCATGATACTCACAATAAGCGAAGATGGAAGAGCCGGCGGTTGGGAAACGTCGCGTCGAGTTCCTGCGGCGATCATCTAGGTAGGGTTACCAGTACAGGTGGTTGACGCTACCTATGTAGTCATGACCCCCACTATTGGCGGCGAAGAAGCAATGAAGTACAGGAGTTCGCATTGCTAACCTTCAGTCGTTCTTTGTGGAGAGAACGCAACAAATTTCCGGGATCAATTTCGTTTGGCTTTGCTGTGCGCATGGCTGTTTGTGATGCACGCTCGCGGAATTTCATCGTTCCTTCAACTGCACATACGCTATCCGAGTATCTGGATTGGGCAATGAACGTGGGTACAAGGTACGTGGGTCCGGAAGTTTCGCTACTCGATCATTTTACTAACGGACGTAGAAGTCAACATGTAGCCTTTTGGATGTTGCTTCATACCGCCAAACTAACCTACGGAGTCACGTTTTGCCCGGAGTGACGCGGCTACCCGATTCCGCATATCGCGTGGCAACTACTACACATACTCTTTCTTTATCCGCCCATGGATGTTTTCGCCCGTATCAGACTCGATGTATTTCAATCACATTGTGTCTGCTCCTAGTAGGCCGTATCTAACGTGATCTGTTGAACATTCTTTATATAGTGTTCTCCACGGGATCTTCTGATAGGCTTCAAACCTATCTTGTGCTACTGTTTGGTTCCTGCCAGACCATATGCAGAATCATCTGAAGTTACAAAAAGGCTCATTGCCCAATGATCACAGAGAGTACAGGGGATGTCACGTTGCGGTGAGAGGTTTTACCCGCACAAAGGCAAACGAGTGGCCAGATTGCACGACGACTGAAGATAAAAGTTACACACACGCAATGAGGCAGTTTACTCATTATATATATGAGCCAAGTTTGCCCACCCGAAAGTCTTGAACAAAGCCATGAAGTCGTTACTCACATGCCTAGCCTTTCTAACACGAATGATCATTATTTCGATTCAGTTCACATCCGTATCAGCATGCGCGCGCCCTAGAGACCGCTGCAAAGCAAACGATTGGTATATATGTGAATGCAATTCAGGCTGGCTAGTATGTTGTCGTGTTTTGTAGTGATAAGCCTGCTAAGTAATCCCCTTGTAGCTGGCGTGCAAACACAGGGGTGGTGGACATCGCACAGACATGTATCTCTCTGAGTCTTCATCAGCAGACACACGGACGTGGGTATTAGCGAAAAACTGCCCAGTACCGAGCGATAGGAGCTTGCAGTGTGTGGAGGGTAACTGTAACGAAGGAGGAAAGAAATACGAGGTTGTTTTGAACGGGTAGGCTTTTTAACAGGAGGACACCGCCAGACGAGGCTTCTGGCAAACCCGTCGTTGCCATATACACTTGTAACGGCACAGGCTTGACCGATTCGCCAAGCATCCACCTGGCTGAAAGTTCTCGTCTTCAACCCTCAACGGTCGGTGCAACTCTCTTTCATACTGAAAAGTCTCTTTATTACGTGATTAAACACTGTTTCGACGTAAAACACATCTCTCTACACGACGGTGGGCCCACCGAGGGCATCGGGCCCATCACGATGCAAAAGCTCGACCTAACGTTGAACGCGTACCCGCTACTCGAAAAGAAACTCCATACGCTGATATATTGCAGTCGGCCAATAGTTGTCGAGGCCGGAAGCTGAGACCGAAGTGCAAGAAAAGGCTTAGGCAGCGCTAGTGAATTACAATGTTTATGTAGCCTGAACCGGCTCGTTATGATCCCCGTCATTAAATCTATATGAGAAAAGCGTCTTGTTTTCATTGGCATGGAACACATTACTCTTCAGTCCAAGGCCCACCTCTGCGAATCGCGATCAGCCAACGGCACCACGTTGTAGTTTAGACGTTGAACATAGTAATCGTCTTCTAGCTCATGTGCTCGCGGTTTGCGCTGCACCTGGCCTAACAGAATCGGTCTCAGTCCTTTCTTGAAGTTGAACAAGCAAACAATCCCTACAACGAGCGCAAGAGCCGAGAAGCCCAGCGCAACGCAAGAGTAGAATACCATCTCATCCTTCATCAAAGTTTTAGAAAGTAGTGTATGCCCATAAAGAACGAGCAGTCTGCTAATCAGATATGCAATTGTTGCGGCATGGAGGAGCTGCGATATGAAGTGTTAGCGAGTGTCAGTCTATAAGAATCGAAGGACGCACCAAAGCAAACCCCATCCCAACCCAGCGCTCATGCCTTACAAAATAGACTGCGATAGCCACATGTATAAGAGTAGCCGGAAGGATTGAGAGAGTCAACGAGAACTCGGGCTCCACGTAATGAACGTCGATGAAGGCGTAAATGAATATGAATGCGAAAACAAAGTAAGGTGTGAGCTTGAGAAGAACAAGGTAGATCTGCTCTAGGTTAGTATAGCCAGGAAGCGACAATAGTGGGAATGCTTACCTGATAGATCATGTATTTTGTTTGTATCTTCCTGTCAGGACTGACGTGCTGGTACAAAGCCCAGGAAAACTCACGGTATAGTCCCCTGGCTAACCAGCACATGATGACGCTGCAAACGCATGTGACAACTAGACAAACCATCAAGCCGATCGAGACCTTCTTCCGGAAAGGCCAATCAAAATCCGCAAAAGGCGTGCCGAACTGGTCGTGATTAAGAAGGATCCTATCAGCTGCATGTCGGATTTCGCCGTATTGAAGAACAGTCGAGATTGACAGGCATATGTTGGCAACGCATTGCGCGAAGATCTAAACGTCAACGTACGAAGTCAGTACTTGTTTACGTGCACTCCGAGAGGTGGCATCACTGACCTGGATGTGATTCTTGATCCGATATGCATCAAGCGTTAATATAACTTGGAAGAGACATCCCAAAGTATTGACAGCGAGCGTCAAGGGCGTGACATAGGCGATTGGCACTTGGTATGCGACTGAATTAACCCAGTTAAGATAGACGATGAGTACAACCCTAGAGACGTTAGGCGATCGTTCCAGTGCTAGGCTTTGCGGGGTGATACGAACGTCTGTATAGTAATATTCGTAAGGGCTTGCACCGCAGTAGTGCCAAAAAAGGCCCATTCCAATCTCGTTTCCGGCCGCCACGAGACCATCGTAATTGTTATTTCCTGATCGAGCGCTCTACACGCCTAAAGAGGTAATGCAAACAAAAGTGGCGCAATCCAGCCAGCCACAGAGAAAAGGCAGCGGGGTATTGTGTGTGACGGGAGAACCTCTTTAGCAGTCTCGAAGGGATCATAACAACGCGCGGACACAAGCAAAAACCTTCAAGTCCTACCCGTAGTTTGGCACTTTCCACGCAGGGGTCCACTAGGACAAGTCGAATACGGGAAAGGAGTTTCCGTGCTATGCCGTATTCAGCCGAATATTGAGCCACCGCAGCTGAGATGCACGCTAAACTATCCCCACTTCTTACGGCGAGCGCTCCCGGCACGTCGATAGAGCTTCTGATTGACAGATATCAAGTCTGACAATGCGGTTCTTCGTCTCTCGGCATCTCCGCGTGGGGCAGCACCGGACTAGCGCCTTCTCCAGCATGACGACTTTCGTACAACTCTTCTTCGTCTCATCAACCCAAGCTCAAGACACATCAGATCTAGGCTAGGATCGTAGCGATGCTTCACTTTCTGTGTTGAGGAGGGTCAGCTATGGCGATAATTTAAAGGGTCTCTTACGCACACAGGCCCGTCTACGATCTGCTGGTTCAGGTACGCCGATGCACGACTTACGCCAGGGTCACCCCTTGGCCGTTACGAGATTGAGGGTCAAGAAGATCCGCGGACAGCAGAAATGGGAAAGCAGGTGCATAATGATTCCATCTCTCTGGTAAGATGCTTGTCGGACTCAAGGAGCGGCCGAGAGAAAGTTCCATGATCTCCACATGGTAACTAAGTAAGGTCTTAAAGTCGGCCAGACACCTTTGACCGTACCATCTCTCCACTCAGTAGACTTTGCTACTAACAACTGCTTTAGAGAACGATGGAAGAGCCATGTAGTGTCAAAGTGGAGAAAAGGTATCTTATATCTATTCAAGAAGTGTGATGGACATACATACATTGTATTCCGTCTCAAAGTCGCGCGAAGATTGAACATACCTCTAGCCATACAAACATTACGCTATCTAATCAGCTTCGCTATCGCGGCTTCGGGTGAGATATCCCAGCACTCTACGCCGTCGCATCACCGCTTTTCGCTCGCTTAGCCTCCCTTTCTTCCCCTACATTTGCGTCAGCGCGTCTTTTACCCTCGTCTTTCCTCGCTGTGTCCTTCTCTTCCCGCGCAACACGCCGCGCCTCTTTGTCTTGTTTCTCTTTCTCCTTCCGGAGGGCTTTGCTCTCGAACTCGTGCCAGTCACCCTCCAGCTCCTTCAGCGCATCAGCGCGTTTCGGTGGCGGCGCCTCGCTTGTGAAGAAAGGGTGCTCGAGTACGTCGGCGGCCGTGGGTCGCGCGTTGGGATCGAAAAGGAACATGGCCTGGAGGAGCTCGAAGGCCATAGGGCTAACACGATCTTTGTACTTCTCCTCGAAAGTTGACTGCTTCCGTTCGGTTGGGCGCAGTAGTTCAAACCATTGCATATCAACGATGCCAGGCCAGTCCTGCACGGTGGGCGTGCCCAGTATGTTATAGATCTTGTCCAACTGGTTGATCTCGCCACCATCTCCTGGGAAGATAGCGTGTCGTGTGAAGATCTCCACCAGTACGCAAGCGGCTGACCAAATGTCAACAGCCGGCCCATACTGAGTTTCTCCCAACAGCAGCTCCGGTGATCGGTACCAGATGGTGATGACTCGGTTCGTATAGTCGAGCTTGCTGCTCTTCGCGTAGAATCGTGCGAGACCGAAATCTGCCAATTTCAACTGCCCGGTGTTTGATACCAGGATGTTCGCAGCTTTGATGTCTCGATGTAAAACGCCGCGACGGTGGAGGTAGTCTAGCCCCTCGAAGAGCTGTTTTGCCAGATCTTTCTTGTGTGATTGTTCAAGCTTGAAGGTCGGGTGATTCAAAAGACCAGTGAGATCGTGGGATAGGTACTCGAAAACCATATAGCAGTCGTTCTTCTCAACCATGACCTCTCGTAGATTGACGATGTTGGCGTGGTTGAGAGATTGCAGCAACTTAACCTCGCGAATCGCGGTGACCGGAAACTAATAGTTGTTAGCATTGTCGTGTCATCGCTTGTTGGATGTACTTACGCCATCGCGTTCGCCCTCCATTCGGATCTTCTTGAGGGCAACCATGTCCTTTGTATAAACATGGACACCCTTGAACACCTTTCCGTACGTACCGGATCCAACTACCGATTCGTTACCTGGCTTCCTGTAATACACTGACTCCGAAGCTGCATGTTCAGGAACCAGAGTAGGTCGGGGCTTCATGCGTTTTCTTGTAACAATCTTTGTCTTCGGTACTTGAGGAGGTGGTGTCCTTCGAGCAGGTCGCGGATCGGAGCGCGGGTCAGGGCGCGGGTCAAACCGCCTATCGTCAGGTCGTCGTGGTGGGTATGGCTCTCTGCGATCTCTGATATCTCGGGGATCTCGAGGGCTTCGCAGGTCTCGAGGGTCCCGTTCACGAACATCGCGTAGGTCTCTCATGTCTCTCGGGTCACGCAAGTCTCTGTCTCGTGGCTCTCGGAAGTCCCGCTCTTTGCCACGATAATATGGAGGTTCTCGAGGATCCCGTATATCTCGAGCGTCTCTGTCGCGATGATCCCGTACATCTCGGTAAGCCGGTTTCCGGTCGTAATAGTTGTCATATCGCCGGTCTCGTTCCCTGTTGTCCCGCTCGCGACCGCTGTCGTAACCTCTGTCCCTGAAGTCTCGATCTCGGTCGCTTCTTGGTTCCGGGCGGCGGGGGGAAGCTTCGCGCGCTGGGGCTACCACCTTTGCCTTGGGAGCAAGAGGAGATTCTTTAGGAACTGGTTCTGGTCTCTCGGACTCTTCCAACCCAGGCTTTGCTTTACTCGCTGGTGGTACTGGGTTCTTTGTCTTCAACGAAAACCCAAACCCTGACTTTGGCGCCGTTGGAGGTTTCGCCGGTCTTTTTTCCTCTTTGGGGCCTTCGTCTTCTACGCGCAAGTCTTTGGATGGGCGAAATGGATTATCGTCGGCGTCGACAGATGCAGAATCAGCAGGGGCTTGGGATGCGACAGCCGGTTGTGGACGTGGTGCTTCAGTGGCGGGGCGGCCGCCTCGAGTGCCGGATGCTGGCGTCCATGACAGGTTTGAAAATTGTGTAGGCGCGGTACCACGCCCTCGTCCACCAGGTCCGCCAAACGGAGGATTTGCGCCAGGGCCTGACATGCGTCGGTCGGGACCATTGAAGTTGTTGCCGCGGTAACTGCCATGACCTCCGCGGTGAGGACTGTTCTGAAAGCCAGGTTGTGGATACGGCTGATTTGGATAGTAACCGGGTGATTGGTTTTGATGGTAAGGGGACTGGTTTGGGGTATAGCCTTGCATGGGAGACCTGATGATGTCAGCATGGGAATGACCAAAGGCCAACGGGACTAGAACTGACCCTTGATTAGGATATGGCTGGTTGTTCCAACCGCCTCGACCACCATGATAAGGGGACTGGTTTTGAGGAGAATATTGGTTCTGGGCAGGATACGGTGGGGATTGCTGAAACCCACCACGTCCCTGGTAATGATATGCTCCCCTCATGTTGCCTTGGTCCTCTCGGCTCTTGGATGCGTCAGAGTTGTACCCTGATCCAGGTGCTGGTGAGCCTCGGCGTGAGGTGATCCTATCTGCGAGGGCAGGTTTGCCAGAATCTGCTCCTTTATCCAAACGTTGGCGCGGTCTTGATGTAAAAGAGGGCGATCGGGATGGACGACGTCGAAGGGATGAGCGAGGCGAGCGACTCCTACGCAGGGGCGGTGAGTCTCTGCGAACTGAATCTGGAGATCGTCTACGAGGCGGGCGAGAGGGAGATCGAGCACGTCTGGAAGCTCGACTGCGACTTCTTGCCCTGTCGCGGTTGTTGTGAGACTTGTATGATCGTTCCCTGCGGTCGTCGAACGGCGAAATAGGTCTACGATCAGTCCTTCTCGGTGACGTTCGCCGAGGCGATATTTCACGCCTAGATCTCCTCTCCAGTGAAACTGATCTCTTCCGTGAACGATGCGCCACTGGCCTATAATGACTATCGACAGAGGGAGAGCGGCGACGATTTGAAGCCGTCGGGAAGTATGTATCGGGTGTGGGCCTTCGAGGCGGTCGGTCGCGGTCGGAGCGTGCAGGTCGTGGAGAGTATGCCCTGCTGGGAGGTCGACCCGGCGAGTACGCACGTCGTGATCTGGACGTGGAGCGTATAGAGCTACGACTCCCTTGTCTTTTTACGCGTTTCGCGGAGCCTCTCGGAGATGGAGAACGCGGGTGGTGGCGTTTTGAGGATGGAGTCGTGTCGCGATGGTGGTGGTGGTGTCGATGTGAGTGGGAAACCCTGTCTGCGCTGACTTCCCTCTTCGAAGCTCGATAGCGGTCCTCCCCAGAGGTGCTGCGACTGCGGCGACGCGCGCGCTCTCTACTCAAACTTCTCTCGCGAGAACGTCCTCGCACGTGCCTGGCCGATGATCGGATGTGCGTGTCTGGTGCGCGATGTCTGGAGGAGTCTCTGGCAGCTCGTGGCACTGGTGACGATGTTCGGGCTTCGATGTTCCTCTCCCGTGACCGTTCCCTGGATCGCTCGCTATCCCGAGTAGACGAGTCCTCTGGTCTCCACTGGTCTATATCCTGAGCCCGTCGCAGGGCAGCCATAGAGGCAGGAAGGTCATCAGAAAGCGCAAGGTTGCAGCATCAAGAGGTCCGCGGGTCAAAGTGCCACGGCCTAACCGAGCAACAAGAAACTCAAGCACCTTGCTCTCAGCCTTACGACGAAGTAGTAATAGAACTGGAAAACAACAAAAGATGCGGCTGCGACTGAAATACACTCCCAGATGTGCTGCCGGTGATACGCTTTCCTCGATGTTGCTGTCGTGGCCGCAGACGCTGCAGTGCCTTCTCGCTCGTCGGTCTTTCGCCAGCCGCTATCGACAGCGCCAAGCCCCGTGATCAAGGTCGCCCTCATTCTGTGCATGGAAGCCCCTCCATGCCGCCCAAGATTCCAGCCTGCTCCCCGATTTCATCTGTTTCAGCACATCCTTCCCACGTCTTCTACTTTGTATATCATGTTGCTGTCCACCAGATGTTCCATACGGCTTCACGACATCTACATAAAACATGCGAAGCAATACCACCGCTACCTTGCCGAAGTCTACCCTGCCCCTTGGAAGCAACAGAGAAAGCACTTCTCAGCAGCAGACCATAGCAACTCTGGGAGGGCGATATTCAGACCACAATAACGGAATACACCAAGAGATGAATCTTGGCTGACCCGGACACTGATCTTGTTGTGATTCAACTGAGGTCGTCGTGATCATCGCTTGTCGTGAGCATTCGCACGCTGCGACGAGCCAGGCAAGCATGCACATGACGTGGGAACTCAATACCTCGTCTTGTGCAAGGGAGGGAAAATGGTGTAGGTCGAATGCTGGAAGCGCCGTAGATGTAACCTTGCGGCCTAGAGCCTTTGGGTCTGGGAGTATTCCACAGGCAGCCAGACGCGAGAAGCTTCAATACGTGAACCAGGCTCACCTTGTCGTCCAAGCAGTCGTCAAAGACAAGTGACGCGACAAACGTGTACATGTTCCAGCACAAGCCAGAAGCATACGCAGGTGAGTGACATGCGTATGGTAATTGTCGCCCTGGCTCGGAGGGGGAACTGAGGGTTGAGAGCGACAAGCAGGTGAAACAAAGCCCATCCACGACGCGAGTTAGACGCAGTATATGTCAAGAGTGAGGCACAGTGCGTAATTAGTACACGACTGCGCAGGCGTGTTATCAAGATGTCCAAGCAAGAGGCCGAGGTAACTGTGACAATCCACCTTCACCACCGTCGCCAGTGGAGGCCCAGTCCTCCCTCGACGCATATCGCACCATGGTGTGGTGACGCGTCATAGATTGCGCCGTGGCTCGAGAACATAGATGGGCGGTGCTGTAGAGAATGCGCCGTGCTGGTGGTACGATAAGGTGAAGCTGCGGGGACCAAGCAAGGGCCCTTAAAAAGGCCTCTTCATGGCGGTTTGCCCATCCTCTGCATCGTCGCTAGATGTCGTGAATGTCAAACGAGGCGCCAGCGGTATCGGCGATGTTGTGCGTACCTAGCGAAGCATGTGTTGATGATGATGGAGGGTTGGGTATGGAATGGGTGGTAGCTGTGTTGACTGGCGCTCCTGCCCTGCTGCTCGCCTGCCCGCTTATCACGTGCAGACCTGGTCAGAGCGTGAGGGAGGTGTGGCGTCATTGCAAGTACGGAACGCTAGTCCCCATTTCGACGCTTAGGACAAAGTTATTCCATTGTAGTCATACAGACCCGGGCCGCAGTACTATTCTTCTGCGGAAGCCATGCGCCAGTCCGAACATGCTTGCCTGGCCCTTGTGCCCTCTCTGACTCTGTAGTTTTTATCCTCCTCCACCTAGTACAAACTCTTTCCCCACAAAAAAGTTAAAAGTCCAGCCAGACTCCCCGCCATCATGGATTCCGACTCGCCCAAGCCCAAGTCCGCGGTCCCCTCACATATGATGAACGGCGGATCCCCCCTCAGACTTACCACCGAGGCGCGCGACAAGAAGGAGCGAGAACACCTCTTTCATGCTATAGCGACGTCCAACCGGGGTCGCCAGCCAGTAAACTTTGACGGGCCGACTAGCTACTTCCCCACGAAGTCTTCCGTCGCGAACATGCACACTGACAACCGCCATGTCATGGCAAATGGTCAAGTAGACGCCGAGGACCCTTTCGAGGGTACCGTTGCGCAGACACCACTCGCGACCAGCCGGGCCCACAGCCCGTACACGCAGCACCCCACCATCGACTTCGACGGGCTTAGCTGGCCCAGCAAGGGCACGCGGGAGAGGAAGGAGGCAACCGAAGAGGAGAAGGCGGCGAACCTCAAGAAGCTGTCTGGCGCTGTCAGGACTATGCTCGAGTGTCTGGGCGAAGACCCCGACCGTGAGGGGCTGCTCGACACACCAGAGCGCTACGCGAAAGCGTTGCTCTTCTTCACAAAGGGTTACGAAGAGAACCTGCGCGACATCGTCAACGGTGCTGTCTTCCACGAGGACCATGACGAGCTCGTCATCGTGAGGGACATCGAGATCTTCTCCCTTTGCGAGCACCATCTGGTTCCCTTTATGGGCAAGGTTAGTTCTGATATCATCCCGTCTCATGCAGTACCAGAGAATGACAACTGACCTCTTGTACAGATGCATATCGGCTACATCCCGAACCGCCGCGTGATCGGTCTGTCCAAGCTCGCTCGTATCGCCGAAATGTTTGCTCGCCGTCTCCAAGTACAAGAGCGCCTCACCAAACAGGTCGCTCTCGCCCTCTCTGAGATGCTTCAACCACAAGGTGTCGCAGTTGTAGTCGAATCGAGCCATCTCTGCATGGTCATGCGCGGCGTTCAGAAGACGGGCGCAACAACAACTACAAGCTGCATGCTCGGATGCATGCGGTCACGAGACAAGACCCGTCAGGAATTCTTGAACCTTATCAACAGGCGGTAGGGATGACATTGGGCGAGAAAGTCCGGAAGAGTCGAAGTCACAGTTGACTTCATTCCCCGCATCATGTGCTACCGTTGCACGACTTTGCACATTGGCGTTACATGGGACTGGCGTTTGCGTGAGGAGTTCATCACTCTCACTTTATATTAGGTAGGCGGGCATATTGCGTTGCATCGTTAGACGCATAAGCCTTTCAACAGGCGTTTCCTATCTTTTCACTTTCACGATACATGACCTTGCATCAAGACACACAGATGATCTAGGCGTCCAATTTCTTGCTGTAAACAATACTTGTATATCCACAGTGACGAGTCAATTGTTCGAAAAGAATAGTAATCATTGGTTCGAGCATTCGTCGGCACAAAGCCAACCTTAACTCCGGGCCTCGCTCGTTCAACCTTCTCAAACCCCACCCACTCAGCGAACCGATTCTTGTGCGCTTTCAGGCTGGCGTCTGATCATAGTGCCGGCACTGGCATCGCATGCTACCATCCGATCCGTATATACCATCGGAATTTACCTACGCGTAGCCAGCGATAACCCCGTTACGGCGTTCACGTTGGTGGTTCCATCATACTCGGTTTCTGTGGCACTCGGGCTATGAGGTACTCGGATTTCATGATGCTCGGGTTTGGGCAAGATATAAATCCTACGCCGCACAGGGACAGGTGCTGCCCGGTACAGTACTGGACTAACATTGTCTGGCATATACTTCATATTTCCTTGGGCTAATCTCTGTCTAAAGCATACAGCGTACAGCGCTCACACCATGTCATCTCCAAGAGGTTTTGAACCTTGCTGTCTCAAATCATTCAACTGGACCGGTACCCCGAGCGGTCACGAAGCGAAGCTCGCAGACAACCCAACCTACATCACCGGATCGAACTCTGAGGCTGCCGTCATTATCATCCATGATGGTCTAGGCTGGAGATTCAAGAACAACCGTCTTCTGGCTGATCACTTTGCCAAAGAAGTTCGTCTCCGAACTCCTCATCTATGATTTCATGTCAACTTGCTAACACAGTTCACACGCAGGCAAACGTGACAGTCTACATGCCCGACTTCTTCGGTGGCGAGTCTCTTGACTTCTCCCTAATCAAAGCCGGCAGATGGGCTGAACTAGACATGGAAGGCTTCAAAGCACGCAACAGCCGCTCCGTCCGCGAGCCCGAAGTCTTCGCCTGCGTCCAAGCACTCCGAGATTCTGGCTACAAGAAGATCGGAGCGGCGGGTTACTGTTGGGGCGGTTGGGCAGTGTTGCGTCTTGCGACCGAGAAGTTAGTCGACTGCGTGATTTGCGCTCACCCTTCTATGATCACCGAGGCGGATTTCGATGGCTTGAACGTACCAATTATGTTCCTACAGCCTGAGCATGATGCAATCTTCTCCGATGAGATGAAGCTGCATGCTTTCAAGAAGTTGGTGTTGGACAAGAAGAGTTTGCCGGTGGAGTGGGTACACTTTCCCGGTGTCAGTCATGGATGTTTGATAAAGGGGGACGAGACGGTTCCAGGGGAGAGGGAGGCCATGGTCAAGGCTAAGGATAGGGCGGTTACCTGGTGGAGGGAGTGGCTTCTTTGAGCGTGTCATGTGGACTCGAGAGTATCCTAGCCTAGAGATGTTCCTAGCAATTACTCATATGTGCGATACTTGTCACCATCTAAATATAAATTCACACCTCTTCAACATCATCATCTGAGAGGTTGCCACAACTTCCCTGATTTTGAGTTCATCCCAGCCAGTGCTGGTTAACATATCAGCTGCGATGACGCTATATTTCTTATGCTATTTATGCTAATGAGCCAAAGTTGGCATGTGATGACAAAAGCACTCGTCTTCAACCTTTCCTAAAAATGGGATATATATCTCCAACCTCCATAGGCACAATGCCAAAAGACACATAAGAATCGATGTTCTCAGGCTCTAGCGCGACAAAAGCTAGTCCTGCATTCTTCTGCGCACTGCTTACGAAGAAGCTACCTGCCGGAAGTTGAACATCTTGAATAAGTGTCTCCGTGGTCACGGTGTTGAGAATAGCGCCCTCGTAGTAAGAGGAAGCGAGCCTTGAAGAAGTGATGTTGTATGCCTCAACCTCTCCGTGGAACACCTCAGGCATGGTCTCGACCTCCAGTCCAGAGATCTTGAGACGCTCGGCGAGGTCAGCCCAAGCGCGAGGGATAACGTATCCTTCAGGCCGGGTGCGGGTCATGTTGGCAGTCGCAGGTGTAGTGCTGGCGAACTCAATGGGTAGTTGGACTACCTCACCTGTTCGACGATCGACCATGGTGTACGTGCGGTTCGAAAAGGTGGTGTAGTCGGTAATAACGATGTCCTCCTTGCTAGTGATGATCTCTGAAATGGCCCCTTCGATAGTTCCCTTGACATCAGGCTCATCACGAGCAGTCTCTAGCACACCAAGAATCATCTGTAATCCTGCGAGGGTGCGACGCTTGAACTCTTGGCTTGCAATACCGATACCGCGCGTTTCGAAGAGAAACGTTACGCATTGTGTCAGTCCCATTGCGTTGCGTCCAATCTTCGCATCGGTTCCTGCTTCCTCAAGCCGAGGTGGGTTTGTTCGCGCAGCAGTGACGTAGGGTTCACCACGTAAACCTTGAGAGAGGAGAGACGCATTGATGGCAGGAGCAAAGACCGTCTCGGAGAGCGCGCGGATGGATGGATGAATGTTGAGGTTCTTGGCTGCGCTGTACATGCCATCTGCAGCATTACTATAGTTGCCAGAGTAGCGTGTTGCGGCACCATACTACAGGAACAAAGTCAGCATATGATACACATGTATCCCGTTCAACCTGATCTTACCTCGTGCATGTCAATGGCAACATGTGGGGAAAAGCTGCTGAACCATGTTTTTATGTCACGGGTCTGCTGGCGCGCAAGCTTCGTGTGGTCGCGGTTCGGGTCGAAGTTTGTGGCCAACGTGCGCTGGAAGTAAGCGTTTCCATCCGGGTTGTAGCGTGGTAACACGATGATGTCCATCTTCTCAAGGAAGCTGGCAGCCCACTCTGGATCGCTGTCCATGGCACCGAGGAGGGCCAAAGTAGCCTCATCGCCTGCCGGCTCGTTACCATGAACTGAGCCTTGAATCCATACTCTCAACTTCCCAGAGGTGGCGTAACCGGTAGATGCGTTTGATGCTGATGTTGATAGGTAGACGTATGGGAATGTCTTGCCCTCCTCGCTCAGGAAATCGGCTACGTCGTAGGTCATCCATGAAGGGTTCTTTGTCGCAAGGCCGCTTATAAAGTCCTCTGCTTAAGTCAGATTTCGTGTCTGTAGCGGATCTGCACATCCATCATCGACGTACCCAACTTGTATTGGGAGGTCGCTCCTTCGGTTCCCTCTGTCCAGCCTGGATCAAACGAAGCGTTCGGCAAGAACGCAGGACTCAACAGTGTCACATCCGGCGCTGGAAAGGCTGTATGCTCCACAAGCTGCGAGTCAAAGTTCACATTGACATGGTTCTCGCCATATTGAGTCTGCGCAAGCGCAGACGCTGCGAAGAGGGCAATCGAAGATGAGCGCATCTTCGTCTGGTATCACCGAACTGTCGATCAGGTGTCAAACATCAATTTGCGCGTCTGGCATATTTTATTCCTCTCTTCTGCCCCCATCTTTGAATGGTAGCGATACGTCAGTCAAGACACGCTTTTGCCTGTTGGAGTAGTTTGCCAAGTAGAAATGGCCCTTGGCTGCAGTTGCTCCTGCCTTTTCTGGTGTCGTTTCCTGTACTTTTACCACGGAGATAGGCGTGTAATGAGTCGCTATCGCTAAGGAGCGGCATTTCTGCGGCTCTTGAAGTGTACCACGATGGCTATTGTAGGCGTTAAGCTGGTAGTGAGGGCGGTATCGGAAGGAGGGTGAAGGCGACGCGACACGCGCGAGAAGACGCGGGATCCAGGCTCGGAACCGTTCCGATGCAAGAAGTCGCTACGAGATGTGCCACACGTCAGTGGCGTCTGCACCCTTCGATAGTAGAAAACATTCAACCGCCCAGATTGTCGTGGTGACGCGACTTTCAAGGCCTTTTAGGCTCTCGTATCGACGGCGTCTCTCGAAACTGTGCACTAACGCTCACCAGTACTTGTGCACCCCCTCTATGCGAAGCATAAATGCGCGACAATGACTACCGAGGCCTTCATGGGTTTCAGGCATGCGCCATTGCACGTTCTGGAGAGTTGTCGTTTTTCCGGTCCAGTGTTGAACACATCGCTTCAATCATGGCCGGGCAGAGAACCATAATGGCACTACCCCAGCTTCCCCGCCTCCGTCGCAGCAATACCCCGATTTCCCGACGCAGGTCAATTTCGATGCATGCCGGATGCATTGCCTTCCCCAGATGATCAAGCCTAGAATATACAAATTAGCAAAAAGCTTTGGGAAGAGTCGGGCTAGTCACGCGGCTCACACACGTACACTAGGAGATGATTTCATCCGAAGCTCTGTCTTACATTCGCGCCGTGTAGTAGCCGGCATATATATTGGAACACGCATTGGCCTTCCAAGAATGTGAAATAACTCGCGACCAGAACTATGAAAGTCGCCTCATCGTTGTTTGCGTGCTTCGCCGCGCTATCTTCAATTGCTTCAACACTCTCCATCACGAAAACGCAGAATTGGAACATCACAAATGATGTAGAAGGCTCCGTCCGTCTCAATGGGCTTGCTTTCCAACAACACGCCTTGACCACTTTCGGCGACTACCAATACGTAGCCTTCTACAAAACTGCTTCTGGGTACGGCAAGCACTACGTCAACTTAGGGCGGCGCAAGATCTCGCCTGCACTTGGAGAGTGGCAATATTTTGCATTCACCGATTATGTACAAACTACTCTGGACGAACACAACACCATTAGCATGGGAATCAGCGGTGATGGCAAGATCCATCTGAGCTTCGACCATCACGATGTGCCACTCAACTATCGTGCGAGTAACACAGGCATTGCCAAGACAATTCCATCCGAGTGGACCGCTAGTGCATT